ATACAAGCAAGAGAGCTCACCCTAGCAAAGTCCCATGGCTCCTCCCTCAGTCCTGCTGCCATTCCCGCAGGGGCATGAGGAAAGCATGGGTGATGGGACAGAGGGAGGCTGCCTGCAACAGAAAGGAGCCCCCAGGCCTGCAGATGTGATGAAGCCATTCCCTCCTGAAGCCCTCCCCATGGCACCATTCACAGATGCTGGTCCCTGCAGGCACTGAATGCCATATAGCAGGAGGGGATGCTGACCCCAGTGTCAAAGCCAGGTACAGAAGGCTCAGGCTCACACACAGGTACCTGGCCAAGGTTCTCCTGCCTTGGAAGGCAGAGGCCGGTGGCTGCTCCCCTCCATTCGAGGGAGTTCCTCTCTGCAGCTCTGAAGTGTCAGCTGGGGTTGAGCAGGACCTGCAGTGGGGAAAGGGGGATCTCAGCCACGCGGTGCCACCATGGCACCCACCCACAGCCAGGTGAATGGGAGGAAGCAGCTTGGGCATCCCAGCCCTGCCCACACCAGGTCTCAGCCACACTCAGAGCTGACCCTCCCCAACCCCACCAGGGACCAGCCTGACCTTGTGGTGAGCCCCGTCCCCTCCACTCGGGCCTGCCTGGGTGGGCAGGGGTGGTGGTTGGCCGGTGAGCTCTGCAGACCGTTATCCTTGGCCATCATCCTCCATGCGAAGAGACCATGGGCACAAACCCTGCCCCAGGGACCTGCATAGAGCAGAAGACAGTCACAGGAGCAGCCGTTGCAGGATACCTCATGTGGTTTGAACACAGCATAGGAAGAAAGGGTCAAACCCTGTGGGGTGTTTTCCACCCCCAGCCCTTGCTGATGCTGTGTTAAGTCTTGCAGAGCATTTCACCCTCCCCAAGAGATCTCACATTGCCCCATCAAAGATGCTGCTGGCTCCTCAGCTATTGCTGGGGCAACAGCGTCCCCAGTGAGTCATGGCATGACAACGAGCCCAAGGCTCTCAGCCCCACTGCCTGCCCAAGGATGAGAAAATAGACTCGTAAGGGATGCAAGCACAAGGCAAGGCCTGGCAGGGAGATGCTGTCATGCATGACTTCGTGTACAAGGGTGTTTGCACCTGAGCAAGTGCTCTCCTTCCCCAGGGCACTGGAACCTGCTGGTACCCTGCCCAGAGAGCCACATCTCTCATCACCGCGTACCTCTGCCCTGTGTTGGACATTGAGGTTTGCTATTTAAAGAGAGTCTTGCTGAGGTTCCTGCTAGCAGGAGCTACCACCTGGCTTCAGAGAGCAGCAGAGAAGACCCCACGTTAACACACAGAGGCTGCTGTGGAGCAATGGGATTTCACCAGGGTTTGTCTCTAATGAGAGGTGGCCATGGGGCTTGCTCAGCCCCAGCACCACACACAGCCCTCACTGCTCTGCTGCGCCCTACTATAGACCACACAGTGCCAAAGCACCTCACAGAAACACGGATTTGCACATACATAAACCCAAAGGCACATAGGCATTGCCCAGCCCTACCCAGACCATGTATTCCCACCCTGCCTGCTCCTCCTTGGGCACACAGCACACCCGTTATACCTCTATTGCAAGGATAAGGCAGGTTCCTGGAGACCACACACTCATGCCCACACAGCACAGGCTCTGCCTGGGGAAGGCAATGCCTTGTACACCTCTGCCAACACGTACAAAGACTCCATCCCCACCACACGCACAGGCAGTCGCACACCCCTAGGCACAGGGAAGCCTCTGCTGAGAGGCCACCACTGTCCACTTACAAGCCTGGTGTCCCCTGAAGCCTTCCACAAATGAGTGTTGAGCTGCAAAGCCAAGGCAGGAAAGCAGAGCTGCTGCACTCCTGCCCTTCTCCCCAGCCAAGCAGAGGAGCAGCACTGCAGGATGCACATGCAGATGATCGTCACTGCAGCACACCCATCCCCTGAGCATCCTCAACATCCTGAGCACCAAGGTGCACTTCAGAGCTGTTAATAGCAGCCAGCCTTTGTGTCTGGGGGATGAAAGGGGAGGAGGGAAATGTGCTGATCAGGGATGCTCCATTTCCCTACCCACGCATCTCTCCCTCTCCCTGTCACTTCCTTGGTGGCTGAAGGGACCCCAGACATCTCTCAGGGCAGAGCCCAGCAGGAGATCGCAGCCATCCTGAGCAGGTCTGGGTCCAGTGGCTCCTGAGTCCCCAGCAAACTTTAGGGGAGCATCACTCCTCACCCAGGGACAGGCAGAGCCAGAAAACCCCAGGTCCTGCACACAAGGGGCTGCACCAGGATTGTGTCCCGGGCTGCCTGCTTCTGCTCCCTAGGGAACAAGTGGACTAGATGTTCTCCAGAGGCCCCTTCTAGCCCTAACAATCCTGTGATTGCATCTCCCTACTTCACAGACTGTGCCACAGCTACTGCTCTGATGGAAGATCTGCAGAAGTAGACACATTTTAACACCCTCCCATCCATTTACCTCTCCTTATGCTCAGGGACCAAATGTGCTGCTCCGGAGTCCCAGCGAAGACAGCCGCAGTGTTTGAAGGTGATCACAAAATGCATCTTTCACCAGTTTCTGCCCTTGTATTTTCTTCAAAAAACCATTCTAATATCACAGCCAGTTAGCGAAGAAGTTGCATCCTCAAGGCAGAAAGGAAGAGGTTAATTTTTACCTGCCTCTTGCCTAATCAGCCCCTGCTGTGTGCATGGAGTCCTGCACCCTGTGTGAGGCTGATCTGAAAGTACCAGCACCAGGAGTCCCTTTGCTATCAAACGTTTACCTTTTATTTTCCTCCAAAGCCTTTAATTCCTCTTGTTCTGATCTCACTGAACACCGGGGCAGCAGGGAGCCTGAAAGGGATGTTCTGCAGCCTTGGTATGGGGAGCACCCAGCAGCAAGGGGCATCACCCTGCTCTTGTCCTCAGCACTGGGGACCACAGACCAGGAGCACTGGCAGTGGCACATGTCCCCGCTTCCACCTCTCCTTTTGCTCCCTGCCTGCTGCTGCCTTCAGAAGCAGCTCCAGGAGCTGCTCCCTCACAACTCCCTCGAGCACCATGGTGCACAAGACACGTTATTTGCCATGCACATCTCTGTGGCAGTGACCCCAGGAGACACCCAGCACTGCCACGTGTGCTGCCCTGGGACAAGGCAGGGCTGGGAGGAGAAGGCAGGGAAGAGAGAAAGGAAATCCATAAAGCCATCACACCCCACCACATCCAGAACACATGGTCTTTATTAAAATGTGCATTTTATGGGTCAGCGCTTCCAGATTTAAACCTTACATAAAAGCCGTATTGTATCCCCTCTAACCTGCCTTTGAGCACACATAGAGTTTGATCATGTCTCCTCCAAACACCTTCAATCCTCACTTTGAAGGTGTCGTGTCCCCAGAAGGGTCAGCCCTTCTCATCCTAAAACACAGCTTAAAGAAAACCCAACACAAGCTTCTTCCAAACCCCTCCTAGAAACCAGGCAAAGGGTTCACCTCCTTTCCTGGCACAAGTCACACAGCAGCAGCCCCTTATACAGACCCACAGTGTAAGGTCCTCTGGTAACCCTGACCACATCCCTGAGCCACAAGCCATAGGAACCACACCACACTATCCTGGCTCTCATTTGTAATATATCTTAGTGCTCAGCTCTCAGCCATGGGTTCAGACCTGCAATTACATGTAGGACAGCTACTTTTAGTGTCCAGATTTACAGGCATGGATGCAGGCAGAAAACACCCAAGCATTCACGTCTGTGAATAAGTTACTGGGACACCTGGGTGAGCTGCAGGTGCAGCTGCGATTACTGATAGGTGGAACAGAGAGGTGCCAAAGCCTGCCCCAGAGCCTGCAGGCACAGCTCCAAAAGCATCTCAAACCCACCTCACATCCAAGTGTTACTGAACTCCACAGAAGGAAAGAAATGGCAAAGCTCTTGAGCTGGGCTTGGGTTTGGCTAAAGAGCATCCAGGCCAAGGATTCCCCTCACCTGTGTTCGTGCCCCATTGCTGAAGTTACATCTTGGCAGCAGACCTGGAGCAATCCTGCCCTCTGGCACTGGCAACCTCACAAATATCTGCTGCTGCCCAAATGGGCAATTTTCCATGGCCTGTCTGGTGCTATCACTGTTGGTACGAGGTCTTATAATCCAGAGAGTCACCACGGGGAGGTTTCCCGTTTAAATCTCCCTGGGAAAGAGCCAAGCTGCAGGATAAGCCCAGACCTCAGCAACGCTCTTACAGTCACTTTGGATTTGAATGTGTGCAAACACGCTGCTGAAGTGCTTCCAGCAGGACAGGAGCCGAGAAGATGGTTGCACAGCAGCAGGGATGGGAACTGCTGACTCCTCCAGCTCCCTGCCTCCTGGAGCAGGGGCTATGGGATGGGAGACCTGGCAGTAAACCTCCACCCAAGAGCAGTGGCACAAGGAAGAGAAGAAAACCCATCAGCAGTTTAAAAACACTCAATCACTCTGCAGGTCCTGGAGTGCAAGCCAAGGAACAGACCCCAGCAGTTGGCTGAGGACTTCCATGGGGTCAGAACTGGGTTATCCAAGCTGGGACCGAATCAGGGGACTGGGCCCACCAGCATTTAGGACTGTTACAGGTCCCCATGTCCACAAACACTCAACGCCTTGGGTTTGCATCTCCTCTGGCAGGCAGCCCAAGGGCCAGAGGTCTTCCATTGCTCTGTACAGGACAGGCACCTCCTGTGTCAGCCACCATACCTGGGCTCTTCACAGCAGCTTCCCACAGGAGCACAGACCCCATCAAACATACAAGGTGGTTGCTAGGCTACAGAGAGCATCTGCACCCACAGCCCAGCCCCGGGACTATGCCTGTTGGGCCATAGTAACCCCACCTCTCCCTGACACCCATCTCCATCTGCTGTGCCACAAGGTCCAGCCTCATCGCTTCCCTCACCCACCTCTGATGCTAGAGCATGGGGAGGGACAGCATCTTCATTGAGTTCAGGGTCTAAAGGACACAGATCCTCAAGGGCCTACAATGAAAAAAGCAGCTCAAGCTCAGAGGAAACACACGGCCACACGGGTTTACTGACTGCAAGTACACGAGCAGGGATCCTCGCTCTGCCCTCAGCCACCCTGCCAGCGCCGGGCAGGAGAGGTCAGGGCACAGGGAATCATCTCCTCATCCAGAGCCACGTGTTGATGAGGCAGGCGGAGATGAGCACGGAGTAGACCAGGATCTCCTTCTGCTGCGAGGCCTTGCACTGCTCCTCCAGCACCCGCACCCTGCTCGAGATCCTCGCCAGCTGCAAGGGAAGCAGTGGGGATGCTGTCAGACCCGTGCAGGACACTGGAGCACCCCAGAGGTGTGGGATGGCAACAGATGGAGGGGTGGGAACTGCCGTCTCCTTCAGGTCCTCCTTTGCTACAGCAGCAGTCTTTGTGCGGGAGAACTAGCAGAGATCCTGCCCATCAGAAGAGTATCTGAGCCCTTTACTACCAGCAGACAGAGGGATCTGGCTGTCTCCTGCAGCCTTACAGCCCCCTCAGGGCTGGAGCTCGATGGGGCAGCACACATATAAGTCCTCCCTGCTTCCCCATTAGCAGCATCAGCTGGGACTAACTGGCAACACCAGCCCATCAGGACTGAGCAATGGACCCCCCGAGCCTCCTCACTCACCTCTGATGGCTTTCCCAAGAAACCTTCCCAGCCCTTCACTCCCAGCTCACCTGCTTTCTCATTGCTGCCATCTCAGTCATTCCAGCCTCCTCCAAGGCACTCTCTGGGGCTGGGCCGGCCTCCTGGGAGCTGGGGAAGAAAAGCAGAGATGCAGAGGGACAAACACTGCTTGAGAGGTGCCTTCCCCCATGCACGGCACTGCTGCAGGGAGCCATGCAGGCAGCATGCCCAGGATGCGCTGTCTGGATGCAGCATCGGGAGACAGGCCACAGCACCTGCATAGCACCTCCTCATCTCTTCTGAGCCCCCATCATGCATAATCATACCCCTCCACCATGCACCCCATAGTGATCACAACACATGACGCACAACAGGGGAAACACATGCTTGGATTTCCTTAGAGGGTCAACACAGAGAAAACATATTTACCAAGCATCCATCCTCACAGTCAGAGGAGTTCATTGAGGGCTGTATAAACCATCTTTAGAGCCAGTCAGGTAAATACGTATCACAGGGCCAATGCTGAAATGGAAGGATGATCTCATATACATCAGCAGGCGAGGATCCCACTGGTGGGAAGTGGCCATCAACTGGGAGCAACTATGTGAGCAAGTGCATCAACCAGCAGATTTTGGTCCTGTGTTTGCCAAGACAAGGATTTGTTCCTCTCCAGTGCCTCCAGGTACTACAAACTCACTTTCCCCACTCCTCTGACAAAAATAAAGCATTGCTTTTTGCCCCTATAGCAAATTTTACCTGCAGCTTGAAACATAAATGAGCAACCAGAGCACACACCACTTCCTTCCACTCCTGGGAACAAAGAGGCCACCACTGGCATTAGCTGCTGCACTGGCAGAGGCAATGCAGACTACACATCTCCAGGGCATCCCCTCGAGACCCAGCCACTAAATGAAGTAGATCCACAGTGAGAAAAATCAGGATTGCCATGTTCAGTCTGCCCTCCCTATCCTCAGGGGCTGGCCCTACATCAGCTCTTCTGCAACCAGAACTCCCCTCTGCACACCAGTGGGCACAAGCACTTGCTGGTACCATACAGGTTACTGCACATCTAACACAGCTCCTCAGGGAAGAGAGGGTATCTATTCCTGTTTGCTACACAATGTTGATCTCACTGAAGACAGGCCAGGCCAGCATGCGGAGATTCAGTGAATCTCTGTCTGAAACTGCATTTGTGAGATAATACTTCCATGTAATGTAACTGCAGGGCAAAATGAAAGTCACGACAGAAAGGAAATCCAATTTCCCCCAGCACAGAGCCATTCACAAAGGACACTTACTGCAGCTTTTGACTGAAAGTCCCATCTGATCCAGGTGAACAACCTTTGGAGTGGGGCTAGTAATCACCTTCTAGTGACTCACCCTCTTCAAGAGGCCACTGTCAGGTAGATGCTCTATTCTGTATCCAAGACCAGGCTTTTCTCTACTAAAACCTCAGGATAAACAAGTCACCTCAGTGTTGCATAGAGGCATAAAGCTGTTATACCAAAGAGATACTGTGTGCCTCTGAAATGATGCAAAGTACCACAAAGAGGTGGCTAGCTTTAAAGGGAGCTGGAGACCTGGGGACTGGCCTGGGACTCACCCCACTGCATTGCAGCAGCTCCACAACCTACCGCTGCCATGGTACTATGGCCTAAACCTCCCCTACTGCTGATGGGAGGAAGGAGAAGGTGTTACATAGCCACTAACCACATCTGTTGGCATGCTCTGACTTCATTCCAAAACAAAAGCCACATCTGAAGACAGTCAGCCTGCTGTGGCTAAATCAGGGACAACACGAAGCATCATCCAGCATCTCTGCCTGCACCTCCACACCAGCTGGTGTGCCACTGATGATGGATGCTCACTCTCCTCCCTTTCTGCCCGGAAGCTTTGCCCAAGGAGAATTAGAAGCAGTTCGATGTTCCTCCCGGTGCTGAGCAGCCTCAGAGCAGTGGGGACACCCTAAGGCTGCAATGACATCTTTGAACATGTTAAAATGTACTGCTCTTGCAGAGGTAAAAGTGTCGTGGACACAGTTGCTCCAGCACACCCAGAGAGACAGAGGTCACCGCATACCTGCTGCAGCGAGCACACAGGCATACTGCCCCTAGCCAGAGCCACCAGCTATGGGATGAGTAACGCAGTGCAGCCAGTTAGTGGAAAAGGGTAATTAAGAGTGACCAAGAAACAGCCAAGGGTGCTGGCAGCCTTCAGGAGAGGATGTCTCAGGGCAGGACCTAAATCGGGCCGTTCTGGATTTCAATCCCCTTCACACACTTCTCTCCATCAAGACATGCAGTAAAATTGGCACCTGCCTGGCAGTGCAGGGAGGCTGAAATCCCAGCAGCATCCCAGGCAGCGTTTGGTCACTCAGGGCACTGGTGTTAAGGTAAGCAGAAGGCACAGGCTGGGCTGGGTTAGCAGTGGCTGGAGGCACCCAGCGCTCCTGGGCCAGGCATGGGGAGCTGGCAGACAGGACAGGCGAGAAGGAGAAGCCATGCAGGACCATCCTGCTCCTGCGCCATGCAGCCTGAGCCTTACAGAGCCTGTGACACAGCTTAGCGAGGCAACGGCGAGTCCTTAGAATGCAGCGAGGTGGCTCAAGAGGAGCCAGTCACCTGGGTGGCATTGGGTCTTGCAGGGAGCGCTGGAGCCGGTGGAGGAGCATCTGGCCCAGGAGGTACATGGTCTGGAAGATGTTCTGCATGGAATAGATCCTGCCCGTCCCCGTGAGGAGGGGGAGCGGGGCACTGCGCGCGGGCAAGGGGCACGGGTCCAGCCTGGGGTGCACACAGAATCACGCCTGTTGTGGACTGGCCTTGTTCAGCACAGGCACAGCCTGGCATTGGCAGTGCTCTTCAGCACCTCCAAGCATCTCTGGGCTACACCATCAGCACCCTGACCCCCATATAACCAATAGGAGAAACCCTCCATGCTCAGAGGCAGGCGCCTGACTGCTCCGAAGCCAACCACAGCTGTGTGATAACCAGACCTTCACCAGTCGCTCTCACGGTGAGTGAGTGCAGAAAGCAGCTCTCCTGCCACGCAGGAGAACCCTGGGCTGTAGGGGGAAAGGTAGCTCTGCTCTGGGATTAACTGGAGGCAATTTCTCCACTAGACAGTCTCTGGAGCCCAAGGCCATGAGCAGAGGATCACTGTCACTGTGCTGCTTCTCACAAGCTACACTCAAAGAGCTGAACAGCAAGTGCCCTCCTAGCCCACTCCACCTGCAAGGTACCACAAGTTCCAACAACCCTTGTGGAAGCCCGTAAGCCCTAGTGTCTCATTTCCCAGTGGTTACCAGCCCATAGCCCCCAGCACTTTGCCATGCTGGTGCTGGAACAGGAGAACAAGTTGCAAGGCACTGAAAGGAAGATGGGCAGAGCCAGAGAGATGAGGACAAGCAAGGGCAGGGAGCTCCTGATGCAATGGCCAGGCAAGGACCGACAGCTCTCCCATGTGCATCTCAGCAGAGAGCTCATCACCCTGGGGACCCACACAGATGCCTTAGCACTGCCTGGTATGAGTCTCTCTGACACCAGAAGCTATGTTGCTCTTACACAAGAAGAGGACTTGCTAGGCATTGCCTTGCCCCGACCTGGATACCCCCCAGCTCAGGGCACTGACACCAGGGAGCACCAAAGCAGCACTGGGGACAGGAGATGCTGATCCCACCCGCCCCAGGCGGCTCCGGGTTCATGCTCACCGCTCACGGTGCTGGCCCGGGCTGTGCATGGCCAGCAGGGCACCGTCACTTGAGGTCTTCTCCCGCCGTGACTTGCTGTTGTGGTGGCCCTGTTGGCATCAAACACATCAAGCACTCAGTGCGGGGAGCATCACACGAGCCCCAGACCTGGTGGTGGGGAGCTGTGCTCAGTGCAGAGAGAGGGTCACCAGTGAGGAGTCTGCTGATCTGGTCTCTACTGGGATCAGAAATCCAGAGCCCAACACATGCAGCAACAGCTCTTGAATCTCAGGGAGGTGAAAGCACTTGAAAAAGCAGCTCCAGCAGCCAAACCAAGCCTCTGCCTGCCCACGTCAAGGGCCTCTCCTTTGTTTCGCACAAGGTCAAGATCTCTTTTAGCTCTTACACCAGAGCCCTGTACGCTGCAATGATGAAACAGCTCCTCTTGTACTTCACCCAGGAGAAACAGCGGTTGAAAAGGGACTTTAAAAGTAGCAGGAGGCCGTTGTAGGGAGCCTACACTCAGCCTATCTCCTGCTCACAAAATGCAGTAGGAGATGTGGCTGAATCAGTGTCCCAGCATGCAGGTATGTGCTGGTGATGGGGCACAAAGCGATCCCACTGCCCCTACACCTTCACTCCTAGGGCCCTGGAGGAAGAGGTCGCACTCTGGAAGATGGATTCTGGCTTGGGCTGATACCAGACCTCTGGAAAAACCCAGCTCTGGGATTGCTGCCCCTTCCCACCACAGCAGCCCCATCCACCCTCAGTGTGGTACCGATCGCTTGCGCTTCTGGGAGCTCGATCTGCTGGTGATGTGCAGGTAAGGGGCATCCCCGCGGCAGGGCTGTGCAGATTCCATGTGCACCATGACAGAGGGAACCTCCTTTTGTGGGGTCAGCAGCATGGGCCTCAAACTGGCATCTGGTGTATCTGGAGAGGAGAAAGGGAAGGATTAAACCAACCGGAATGCCCTCAGGACAGGGGAGAAGAGGAATCCACCCACACAGGAGTACATTAAATAACATGTCCTGCAGATGTGAGCAGCAGGACAGCCTGGAGAGGCAGGGACTGGAAAGCCACCAGCCACACTGCTCCAGGAAAGCGAGGGCTTGGAGCTGTTGGGCCACATGTCCCTGCATCCCAAAGCAGGGAGCCTACCAAAGGCCACAAGGGTAAAGAAATGAGAAAGAGATGTGGAAGGAGATGCTCCACATTGTGCTCCTCCTCTTTTGGAGCTAAGACGCCTCCTGCCTTCTGTTGTTCACCTTTGCCCACTCTGCCCAAGCATCTCTCCACCATCCAGTCCTTCCTTCAAGAAGAAAGCTGACTGCCACGTCCAACCCTGTCCTCTCCTCTTGAAAAGCAAACCACTGCAGGCTTTATAAAGCAATCCTACTCCCTAGGATGTTGTAGTGCCCCACCAACCTTCAACCACCCCAAAAAGCAACCCAGGACATCACCTGCAAGAGAAATCCTATCAGGGATGTGCATCCGAAGGGAAGGGGACACCTCCTCTGTCACCGACTCCTCATCCACAGGGCTGAAGCTGTTTGTTACCCTCAGTCTGCTGGGAACCTGCATCCTTTGGTTGATGGCTTCTGTGAAGGGCACATCACAGCGGATGCGGCTTGGGTCCGGTCCCCAAAACAGCCACATCTTTTCTGATGTCCTCAGCTTGCTTGAGCACCCTGGGGTTTCACACAGAGGAAGAGAGAAATGAGCACAGAAGTGGTGGCAAAAGCTGGGCACCCACACATGTGCTATAAGACAGCTAAAACACAAGCAGAAACAACCCGTAAGACAGACACTGTCAGAGCTGCCCCAAAGAACAGGGTGTCCCCCGCTGGTGGGAGCAAGGATGCAGGGCTGCTGCTGCAGGTGGAATTCCTGTCTGGCAGGGTAAGAAAGGGGAGCAAAGCATGAGTTTAGTGCCTATTGCCTCCATTGATAGCAAGGAAAGGGCAATAGTTCAGCACACCTGAAAGCAGTTCAGTATTAGCCTAAAAAACCAGTGGGGAAAAACCACCCATCCAGAAGCAAAGTGTTTTGGAGGTGTGGGAGCACATTTCTGTGTTCGTACACCTTCGAGGAAAAAACGAGGTCTCCTATAAACAGAACACGTTTTGGTGGCAAGGTTATCCCAAGAAAACCTGAGCACTCGAACTCCACACACACATTAGCTGCAGTGTCCCCCCCCATTGCCCACCCATCTCCTTCAATGACCTGCACCAATCTGAACAAGACGGGCTTGGCCCCAAGCAGAGCTTCCAGATGCTGAACCCTCCTCCCAGGGAGGAAGGAAAGGAGCACACACCAGCATCCCCAGGCCAGCGCCAGCTCCACTCTCTTCCAGTAGGGGACTGGCACCAAGGAGGGACACAGCCCCCACAAGCACCTTCCTGGCTCCCTGCACTCCATACTTCCTCAACAAGCTGCAGCTGAGGAGAAAACCCCTACCAGTGAGGGCTGCTGAAGCAGCCAGACCCCAGTGCTGCCCCAGATGTGCCTCTTGCATGCAGAGACCCCTGCACCCTCATTGCTGCTGCCCTTTGAGCTCACCGTGCCCATAAAGGGCACCCTGTGCTTTCAGGTCAGATTCTCCATCGTAACAGGGCTGCCTCCAGACAGAGAAAGGAGTTTTCCTTTTCTCAATGAAGAGAAATAGGAAGAGGTGAGCAAGCAGGGTCCCTGCCTTCTCAAATCATGATCCAGGGACTACATTTAGCAGCCAGGTCTCCGATGCTGTGTTTCCAGCCCACCAGGCTGCTCGCAGCAGCACCAGCCAGGGCTGCCCACTGTCACCCTCACTGCTGCTTCTCGGGGTGCTTTGGACCCCCTTTCCTGCCTCAGGGTGTCATCCAGGGGAGAGGAGCAGAGGGAAATCCCTCGGTTGTAGCAACAAAGCCCAAAGGAGCACAGCAGACACAGTACCTAAGCCATGATCCTGTTCCTTGTGACTCCAGGTACATGAGGGTGGTGGAACCAGCTCCATGTCTGCAGTAACCAGCCCCTGCCTCACCCTGCTCTCTCCTCCTCTATCATTAAAAACCTTCTCATTGAAGAGACAGAAATTAGCTCCAGCAATTCCCTGCTTCCAGCCACACAGAGCCAAGATCAGATCCTCACCTGACCCGCTCTGACCCAGGGCTGCTGCTGGAAACAGGGGCAGAACAGCCCCTGGCTGCCCCGCAGCTCCTCCACCACCCTGCCGAGGGTGACACCACCCCATGGGTGCCACAGTACACACGCACCCTGCTTCTCCCCAGAACCTCAGGTAAAACGGGGTTCAGGGCAGTAAGCCCTGGATGGTCCCAAGGCAGACTCAGTCCCACAGGAGAAACCTGTATCAGAGACCCAGCCCCACAGCTGTGGAGACCACAGGGTTCCTCCTTCATGTTTTCGGTGCTTTAGAGGAGCAAATGCTCGGTGCTGCTCTCTCAGGCTGCTCTCTGGGAAGGCAGCAGATATTAATAACCATAAAGCTGGAGAGGGCACATCGGTTCATGTTCGAATCACCTATGAAACTGCTGCAGCTCCCAAAGAGCAAAGGGAGGGGAGTGAGAAGCAGGTTCTGAGAGACTAAGCTATTAAGGAAAAAAAGAGATCAGCTGTCAAAACCCATAAGAACAAAATGCTTAAGTGGCTGGATTTCCTCCTTTAACTTTCTTTAGGGCTTTTCCTAGCTATTGCCAAGCAACCTCCCTTCCCTTGCCAATAGAAGACTCCTTCTCAAGCTCTGCTTTGGCACTTGTATTCGCAGCGACAGGGAATTTCCGGCTCACTAAGCCCGTGAGTAGGTTTAAGCCCTGCACGTCAGGAAAACCTGCCCTGGGGAGGGAAAACCCCACAACCGCCCTCTCTCCGTCCCTCCGCAGCTCCGTCCGGGGCAGGAGGGGATCCCAGCCTGGTCCAGCACCCCCCGCACCGCTCAGAATGGGGTGCTGGGGTGCGCAGCTCCCTGCTAAAGGAGCCGACATCGCCCGCGGGTCTGCCCTTTGCCTTGGGGCTGTACCTTGTCACGACAGAGAGCAGTGACAGGTTTCTGTCACCCGTTCGGGTCCGGCTACGCAGAGCCGAGGGGGACAACTCAGCACCCCCGGGGCTTCGGCTTAGGGAAGCGCCATGGGGTGAAGGGTTGGGGGGATCCGAGCACGACACCCAGGCTCTGAGCACCGCGGGATGGGAGCGGGGCCGCAGTGCTCCCCGTCGGTTCCTGAGCCCCGGGGCGGACACACTTACTTGGACTCTTCCCTTGCAGTCCAGAGCAACTTTGGGCCCTGTAAACAGCCGCAGCGGCACCGCCAGCCGGGGCGGAGCCGGAGCCGGGGCCGGGGCCGGTGTCACCGGGGCAGCCAACGACCCGCCCTCCCGCCGCGCTTAAAGCCGCCGCCGGTAATCACCGCTCATCAGCGCGGAGCCCTCCGGGGGCAGCAGGCGCACAGGGATGCTCCTGACACCGGGGTAGAAGCAGACCCAGAGCTCGCTCCCCCTCCCTTGTCCCCAGGCAGCCCAAACGCTTCAAGGGGAGCGCTCAGCACGGCTCCTCCTGGCGCCCCAATGCAGGCACAGCACGGGCCCAGGCCGCCCTACGAGCCGCGGAGGCAGCGGCCATGCGAGCAGGGAGCTGGGGCAGAGCTAATCTCTCCTGCCGCTCGGTGGAGTCTGCAGCGATAAAATGATCCGTTTGGGATGAACGGCAGTTTTAAACACTTCTGAATGGGGACAGAGTCCAAGACCTGACCGTAAAATCTGGTTTTGAAAGGGCTTAAAATAAATCCCACGCTGCCCCAGTCTTGCTATTTAAAGGGGATTATCTAAGAGGTTTAGGAGCACACAGAGGAACAGCAGGACAACTTGTGCACCTAAATCCCCGCAAAGACCTTAGGAAATCCCTCCACACTTCACCTACCGGCTGGTCAGAGCCCACAGGACACCCTCTAGCTCTCAACCACAGCCCAGGGAAGGCAGAGGCTCCTATTGGGGGGCGTGTTCCCAACTCCACAGTACACAGATCTGATCCTCTCCTCGCTAGGGACTGTGCCTGGAGGGGGGGAGAGAATTGGTGCCATTCCCTCCATCACCTCCAAGATGTGAGCCCCAGCACCCCACAAGATGGAAATCGAGCTGTGCGTAGTGAGACATCCCCCTGTGCTGGGGGAAGAAGGAAGGAGGGATGTTCAGAGTGATGGCATTTGTCCTCCCAAGTAACCATTACATGATACAGAGCCCCGCTGTCCTGGGGATGGGTTCCCTGCCTGCCCATGGGAAGTGCTGAATGAATTCGTTTCTGCTGTGCGTAGCTTTTGCTTTACCTGTCAACCCGTGTTTGAAGCCACTTGCCTCATCCTCTCCCCCATCCCACCAGAGGGGAGCGAGTGAGCAGCAGGGGCTGGAGCTGCCGGTTGGTGTTGAAGCTCCCCATTCCCTGCGGAAAAACGGCACCTTCGCCACTCGGACAGTGAGGGTTTTTTAATAAATACCTCTTGGTTTTGCACAGAAATATACCAAGTTTTACAGAATACAAACTGCAGGGATAACAACCGAGCATCAAAGACAGAGGATGCGAAGTGCCCGGCTGTCTACCCCTGGTCTTTTCAAGACTCCGACCCCGACAATCACTGTCAGGTCTTCCCATAACCCCTGTTTGCTGAGGCTGAAAGGCAGAGGAAAGGCCTGGGAGGGGACAGACACGGTGCCAGCAGCTGCAGACCCCACATGTGCTGCCCCAGGAGCTGGGCAAGCCTCAGCGCTGGGCTGAGGGCACCGGCTGCAAGAGCACTGCTGGGACCGAGCGGGGCACAGGCAGGCGATGGATGCACAATAGCCTTGTGGTGCTGGTGGAGCTGGTGCTGGGGTGAACACCTCGTGGGGGCAGTTTCTGGGCTATTCCTGGGCACAACCCCGTTTTTAATGCATCTGACATGACTGGGAAAGGCCAGCTCCATTGCCTGGACCCCAAAAGCAGCTGCACAGGTAAAGGGGACACTGATCCCACAGCAAAGCACCTCGCTCTGCCCTAACACAGCTGTCTGGCCAGGGTTTGGCCCTACTCCTGACCCACTGGTATCACCGGGCTGTGGCATGATCAGCCAGCTCCCACCCCTGCAGCTGCCTCCGTCAGCAGGCCCTCCACACCATGGCCACAGCCACCAAGGCCCAAGAGAATACGGTCTCACATTGCCCTTTACCTGCTCTGGAGAACAAAGAGCCCCAAAGAGAAGGGCCAGGCAGGACAGAGAGGTCTGGGGTAGGGAGAGGGGAGGTCTGTCCTGTCCACAGGCTCCCTGTGCCCGTATCCCACCTCTGGGGCAGACACCAGACAGGCCACACTCCAGGAAATAGGTGCATCCCCATGGGACCAGGTCTGGCTCAAGGTCAGAGATGACCCCACCAGCCAGCTCCACCACAGCCAGACCCCCAGCTGCCTGGTACCCCACTGCAGTAAAGCAGAGCAGCTGCTACTCTGAAGCCACTTATCTCCCATATAGAAACATTACAAACCTTTCCCCATTCCCAAGATCTAGGAGATGAGAACACCCCCTGACTGCTCCTCCCTCATCTCTGGACAGCAAGTATTGCTACAGGCACCACAGGATGGACTGGGCTCCCCAATCCCACCTGGCAGCAAATCCACACAAGGGAGGCACTTTCTCTCCAGGGAGAGTGTGGAGGCTGCTTGTGGGGATGGACAGAAACTCACTTCTGCATCCCCAGCTCTTCATCTGAGCCCCAAGCAGCAAAACAGGGCCCAGCAAGGCCATGGGGTAAGGCTGAGCAGTGTCCCAGGGAGGCTGTTTCAATCACGTAGCAATCAAAACTGTTATGTCTATTTGAGGGAGGGGAGTGAGGAAATCAAACGCACCATGGGGAGACCCCTGCACTGAGCCAGGAACGAGCTGCTGCTCTGCTCTGGCTGCTACAGCACTTACGTGAGTGGGGAGTGAAGCGCAGGAGGTGGCTGGTTCCAGAGCCACCCCCGCAGCCCAGCCTCACCACTTGTGGACAACTACTTATGGTTACGAGGGTAAGGCTATTGGGGTTTCACCAGCTTGTACAGGCGAGATGGAGTGCCAAGTGGCACCCGAAAGGGGGGCCCCAGGCCCAGCCAAGGGAAGGTGGGTGGGTGAGTGTGAGTACGTGAAGAGGCAGGGGAGAGGCAGACCCCGCTATTTGCCCGCAGTAGGGGCACTGGCCACGATCTCTTCATACTTGGGTGGTGGGTCGTTGTAGGAGATGCTGGTCTCTTCCCCACTGCTGCTCTCTGGGTTGCCTGTCACCTCCTCATAGGAAGGTGGAGGGGTGGCACTGGACAGTCTGGAGAGGACAGAGACCGAATGCTCTGGTGGGCAGAGGGTGCTGTCTTGCTGAGGGGTGCCCCCAGCTCTGCCATCTCCAGCTGCCCTGTTGCTGGCCTCTCGCTGATACTGGGTTTCCCCTTGGCTCTGCGACCGCTCCCGGTACACCATGACCCTGGGGAGGCTGCGTCCCGTCCGGCTGGCCAGGTAACGGCTCTGGGCGTAGGAAGGGCGGTGGCGGGTGGCCTTTTGAAGCTGGCATCTCCAGATGATGAAGAGGGCGATGACGATCAGAAGAGCCACTCCCAAGAGGGGCACCACCACGTACATAGCTTCTGAGCGCTCCGTATTGTGCCCTGGGTCCTTGACAGAGTAGACATAGTTGGTATAGTCCTTCCAAAACTCCATCTGTGGCAGGAACAGAGAAGTAACCATCATGTGCTGCAGGTGGGAAAAGCACCCCTTGACTACCACCAGCAATAATCACTGCCTTCCCTAGGCTAACAGAAGAGGCAGGGTTTTGGCCGTCCCCCACCACTCTACCTGCATCTGCAGGGCTGTGGGAACCAACACAAAAGATCGTGGGCACATCCCTCAACAGCATCCAACAGCTCCCCAAGCAGGGAGAAATTTGGCTAAATCCCATCCTGGAGAACTGGGGCAACAGCACAAATTTCCTATACATGTCATGGGAGCGCCAGGCCAACCCACAGCTTTGGGCATGGTGTCCTGGAATACCGAGGTGAGGGCACTGTCTGGAAAGGGAAAGTCATGCTGGAAACGCTGCTTGGGGATGGAAGAGGACAAAGGGAACAGGAGAGGCTGTTCCCCTTTGTGCTTTCTTCCTTTGCCTCCAGCTTGCTACGGTGCAAACCCTCACACATCCACTGGGGAGCAGGGCAGGACAAACGCACCGTCTTCTCCTTGTTCTCGAACACTTCCTTGACCTCCTCATAGCTGCAGACCTCCTCAATGCACTCCCGCTCGATGGTGCCCTGCCGGATCTCCTCCAGGAAGCCGTTGGCTCGGGGAAAGCGCTTCAGGACCGAGTGGGCATTCCTGGCCCCCAAGAACACTGCAACACACAAGGCAAAGAGATGCTGAGCAGGACAACCCCACACTTGACCTCTGCCCAGGCAGGCTTTCCTGCCTGGCTTCCCATAGGATGCTGGTGATACAGGCATCCGAAACACCAACACCCCAGGGCTATAGGGTTGTAGTTAGCACAGCAGAGTGCCCACTGAGGGAGAAACCACCCAGAGGGGTGCACAGCTCTTAGGGTCTGCCTGGAGACATACAGCACCAGGAGCATCCTTCCAGCTGGGATGCGATACTAGAGACACTGGAAGTGGCACCTGCAGACCACACAGGGCAGCTAGGAAAGAGACAGAAAGCTCCAAAAGGACTTGTTTTCAACCTCCTACCCTTGATGGGATTTCACTTTGCTGCAGAGCAAAGGAGATCCCACCAGGTGAGCAGGACCCTGCATGGCTGGGATGCAGAGCCAGGCCTCTGCCAAGGCATGGGGCCAGCAACAAGACAGACTCACAACACAGTGCATTGTGCATCATTCCACAGTCATGCATCACCCCAAAGCCTCCTCTCTTGCTTCAGAGCTCCCCAGAAGGGCAGTCAGTCTGCTGGAAGGTGGTGTCCCTGCTGCCAGCTGCTGTGGAGTCAGGCAAGCTTAGTTAGGTGGCTTTGGGGATTGTTCTGGACCCAGAGAAACCACTGTGTCTTCTCCCAGGCCCAACAAGGGCAAAGATCCCCAACACACAGGGTCATGAGTCAGATACTGAAAGGGGCCTGCGCCTCTCCTCACATGGCAGCACGTTCTCATCACTACTGCATTTTGTGCAGTGGCCTCAAAACCAAACCTTCCTCTGCTCCCAAAGCCTGGGAGGCTCAATGTTGCCCACATCGGCTCTTCCCAAAGAGCATGCAGTCATGAAGCCAGACATCCCATCTATGAGAAACACAGCCCTTTCAAAGCCTCTCTCTATGGAGGGAGACCTCCAATGGGCACAAGGAGCAAGCACCTACCAGGACCTGCAGCAGCACAAGAAAGGCAAACGAGTTGTTGCCCAGAAGGCAGAAACTTCACACAAACCACGATCCTTCAAGGATCCAAACATCCCACGCATGCATTTCATTTGTTTCCATCAGGCAGCCTAACACATTCAGCTGTAGGCTGGCCCCATCTCTTCCCACCAAGCCACATAACCATGCTGCTTCCCTTGAGGAAGATGCATCAGTTCAGCTGGCTGATCCGCAGAAACCCATTTACCTCCTTCACCCTCAGGCTGCCTTCCATTGGATCAACCACATGAACCAACTCACTGCAGCACCATCAACAGATGCAGGGCAAGGAGGCAAGGGGACAGCAGGAGTTTCCCATTAGACCAGCTTGGTTGTAAGACAGACATACTCCTTCAAGAGGGAGCTTGGTGAAGAACAGATCTAACAGTGAAATGCCACCAACTTCATTAGGAGCCTTTTGCCAGAGAGACAGGCAGGACTTCACCTTCCATGTCTCCTAAAACAATACAGCAAGAAACACTCTCACACTGTCTCAAGGCAGGAACAAGACCATGGTGGAATCAACTCCCACCATGCTACAGCATCCCATGCCTGGAAGCACTGTGCTCTTTTTGTGCTGTGTAGGTGCACTTCCCCCCCACCATGATTTATTAATGGCTTGTTCAGTGAGCGAGCCTGCAGAGGGCTGCACCGCTGAGGTGTGAATGAGGAGCAGCATGAATGATGTGAGTCACAGACCTTCCCTCGGAACCAGCTTTATTATGCAAACGTTCTTCTATTTTTGGTTTTACAAGGACAAGTGAGAAAGCGTTTCCAGGAGGCACAGAAGGCACGGGGCAGGAGGGCAGGGACCAGCTCGCCTTGGCTTTTGCAGTGGGAGAGCGGGAGCACGTTGGCAGGCCAGCCTCCTCTTGAGCCCTTCCAGAACGAGATGAGGCTTGACATCCATCCTGTAAACATCCCATCCTCTGCTGGACAAGTGTGGCCTCACCTCCTCTGCCTTTCGCCTTGATCAGGCTGCAGTACCAACTCTCCTCTGCTCGGCACCTGCGTCTGAGCCTCTTCCCAAACTCCTGAGCACACCTTGAGCAGCAAGCTTGGCGCAGATCTCCCTGTCAGGGTTTCCATCCCTGCAGTCACTTGACCCTTCCCCTGCTCTGGTGTGCTGAACTGGCCACTGTGGTGGGAAATAAAAACAAGACACAGAGGCAGGCAGGTATCACAAGCAGTGTCCCAGCTGAAAGCATATTGCGATGGAGCTGTGTGCCTCTTCCCACAGCCAATTTCCCCTCGGGGGACCTAGAAATGGCAGAAGAGCAGAAACTAAGTCACTGCTCCCTCCCCTCTTTTACATAGAAAATGCAAAGAAATCCCATGTGCCAGAGGACCAGAGCAGGAAAACAAATGGCCGTTGGGAAACAAAAGCCTTGCCAACCCTCATCTCCAGCCTGGATCCCCAAGTGACAGGGAGAGCCTATAGCTAAGCAGGTACAGACCCCAAACCGCAGGGCAGAGGGGACTTCCCAAAGCCTCAGCACTGACCCCTTGTGCCTCTCCCACTCTCTCCACACCAGAACCGGTGCTTGGGAAAGCCCAGAGCTTTAAGCAGAGGCAGCAGGAGCAAGGGCTGGCTTCACCGCATCACTGCCGCGTTTCCCGAGGTGCTGCTGGCCCCTGGTGGCAGGCAGGCTTGGCCACACCACAACCCACAGTGGGGACCCCCCCCCTCTGCAGAACGACACCTGGCTGCATCTGCAGGGGAACAGCAGGGCTGCACGCTGCTGGGAAGCACATGAGGAACACGCTGACCACCACGTCTCCCTCACCACAACGGGGACACCTCCAAGTGCTTGTGAGCCAGCACCTGAGCTCTAAGGGGGAGCAAAGGCAGCAGAGGAAGGCAGGAACCCAGCTGGGTGCCCTCCTCATTAGCAGAAGATTCAAACTGCCTTTTAAACCCCACTGCCTGATGATCTCTGCTCCCTTCCCCACCTAGCACAGCACAGATCATGAAGGATGGCATACCTGTCATCCCTCGGGTCCTCCTCCTGCCCAGAGCTGGCTGCTGGCTCCATCTTCATAGCTGGCTCTGGCGACATCCCGAGCACATCCCGAGATCCCAGCCGGATCTCTCCATGTCCCCATTCACAACTGCTGTCCTCCTTGAGCTCCCATCACACCGCTGCACACAGCCTCTGCGCAGGCTGCTCAGAAGAGCGAGGAGGGAGGGTTGAGCCTGGCTCCTTACACACCGCACGTTATCCTCCACCCTGCACCCTCAGCCCAGCTTTAGCCGCTGGCCCCATCCGACTCCTTCTGATGCCAAGACACAACGAGCTCCCGGTGAGGCACTGGGAATGCAGAGCTCCAGTGCCACCAGCCACCCAGGCTACAAGGCAGCGTGGCCCCGGGGATGGATAGCATGTGGGATGCCAGTCACGGGCCATGAGGAGCACTGTTGCTAGAAGATGTCAGCGCAGACCAGCAGCCCTTGCAGAGGGGCCAGTCAGCCCAAAGAGCCCCAGGGAGGCCAGCCTTGCACAGCAAGCATCACACACAGAGACATGCTGCAGCGTGCACGGAGTCCTGGAGAGGTCAGCACCTCCTCTCAGCTCCCACCTTGCACAGCGGAGAGAAGCACAGGTCAGGCCGGACCTGAGGAATCATCCATGGATAACAGCCGATGGCATATGCTCCCCACAGAGAACACCCCCCAGAAAGCACAGGCACCCCTTCCTCGAGAGGTGGTTGCCAATCATCCCCCTTCTCTCCTCCACCACCACCACCTCTGCGGCTTGCCTGGGGAGCACTTACTTGCCATGCTGCCTCACTCGGCTACAGGGGGCTCCTGCCTACCTGCAGGGAAGAAAACAGGAGAGTCACTGACAGCTTAAATGTCACCCCTGAAGCCCAAGACCTCCATTGCCCAGGGTGAGGTTCATGCAGGAAGCAGGGTGCTGCCTGGTGGACCCATGGCAGTGCCCCCTCAGAGAGCCAGGGGCTCATGCTGCCTCCCCACTCATTGCACTGCTGGAGGGGCTCAGGGCACCCTCAGCTCCCCGACAGCCTGGGGCAGGTCTCTGCTGTCCTTGGGCTGCACCAGCCCAGGGCCCTCCCCAAGAAGCCCAGAGGGCTGCAAATAAGAGAAGTAGGAAAATAACTGGCTGAAGGAGAGTCCCTGTATCTCATCAGCACACAAGATGACCTGCATGTCACAAGCAGTCTGGTGCTCTTCCCCTCCACAAGAGATTGATGGATACAGGTAAAGCAGTCATCCTGTTTCCATCAGCTCCACAGCCGTGCCAGTTCTCACCTCTGCAACTCCTACCCACAATCTGCAATAAACAGGGCCATGCTATTTTCTCCACTGCCACAAAACTGACTACACTGCAGGAAAGCAAAGGATATGCATCCCTTAAAGGTTGTGGGACCAAGCTTAAGGGCAAGCGGTAAGAGTGGCAGAGCTCCCTGCACAGCACCAACAGCTCTCCAGCTAGAAAAGCAAAACCACACTGAAGGTAGCCCTACAAGAGTGAAACAAAGTCCTGCAGAAGCAGACTATAATATCCCTCTCTGCAGGAGGAGTTTCACTCACTTGCTTTTCATGCTTTGTCTTCTCCCTGTGCTCAATGCCCCAGTGATCAGATGCAGGGGACAAACTTATCTCCTCCCACCCTGTGTGACACCTTGCTATGTATGGCAAAGCCATAACCCTGACAGGAGACAGAAGGGACAGGATTAACCAGCTCCTACAGTGATTTACTGTGGATGAAGGAGCAGTTCGAAACAGCAGGAACTAAACCACGTGCTGACTTCAGGTTCAGGACTTCAGATATCCCTGATACTGATCAGTTATCCCTGATAACTATCAGTTATCCCAAAAGCACTTGAGTCCGCTGAACTGGAGCGAGGTCAGTGACAGCACAGAGCCATTCCCAGGGCCAGTGGGGCTAGGAATACATTTCTCATTGCACACAGACACACAGCAGGGCTTATGCACAGCACCACAGCAGGCACCACCACTCCTCACTCACAGCCACCTTCTCAGTAAATCTAGCACCAGGAGGCCTTTTCCTCAAGGAACTGTGCACCCAATCCCACTTCTGAGCTGTCCTGGGGCAGCTGGGAAGCCTCTGGATCTGTGCATCCCCCCCACAGCTCTGGGCAGGGACCACCCGACCTGCTTTTGCTGTCGTCAATCTTTACAGAGAGACCCAAACCTCCAGGAAAATAACGCACACAGAACACACAGCATAGGAAACCTGCCCTGTTTCCATACAAAACCTCTGTATCACTCATTGTTACAGGCATTCTCCCCGTCTGGTGAACAGAGGATGCAGAAGTAAGGGTACTCTCAGGATCCTGGGCTCCATAACTCACGCCATACATTGGGCAAGACATTTAATGCATCAGGAACATTTTTATCCTTAACTTTTCCCCCAAGTATCCATGTCAATGCACTCAGTATCAGAGCTCAGAGGTGGTTTATTCCAGTGCCACAACAAGACAGGTCTGCACAAGCCTACAGGCATGAGCGATGCCTGAGCACAGGGCAGACATCCCAGACACTTATTTTTGTTTCCATACGCAAATCCCTCACCACCACCCCCGGCTCCAGCGAGCAGGAAAAGCTGCACCCCCAGCCGAGGCAGGCAGCATCCCTCCTGCCTCCGCACAGCCACGCAAGCCGAGAGCAGCCGAAAGCTGGAGGCTGACCCAGCAGACACCCACCCAGTCCCGCTTCTACCCCCCCGCTTCCCAACACGCGTTCGCCTCCTCTATAAATACCCCATCGATGGAGGTTGCTACGGCAACCGTGAGGAGGCGCGAGGGATGCAGCCATGAGAGTGAGGATGCTGCAGTCGCACATTTGTGTCTCCCCCGGGCTCCCCCCATTCCGTCACTGATCCCAAAGGAGGGAATCGTGCTGGTAAAACACGGAGTGTGCGTGATGCCGGCAGAGCCTGAACGGGCATGGGGGGGGAACACACCGGGACGTGGCACCTCCTCGGCAGGCTGGGGGGCACAGGGACGGGTCAAGGGATCCTCCCTGGGCAGTGCCAGCATGCGGGCAGGCTGCTGGCTCTGCCGGCACCACGGCTGCAAGCCGCCCGGCGGGATCCCAGCCGTACTGGGGGGGGGGTCCGTGCCAAGATGCACAGAGGAGAAGGGGCTGCTCGGGCTCCGCTTGCCAAGGGACCGCGGGGTCTCCACGGGTTGCCAGCAAGCCTCGTCCTCCCGGAACAGCCTTCGGGTCCCACCCGGCCCCTCCATCCCAGCACCAAGTTACATCCACCAGCCTTCAGTGTGCCCCCAGCCCACACGTGAACTTGCCCAACCGAGACGAACCCCACCACCATCACACCCCTGCCCCACCGCGCCCCACCGCCGCAGCTCCCCTGCTCCCCACACGCCCCTTGCCAGATCCACGACCCCGATTCCCACCTCACACCCACCCGGCCCAGGACCCACCCCGCGGCTCCCGCTGCCCTCGCCCCATGCCGCCCCTACCTCATTGCGGCGCCGCCGCAGCCGCCGCTGCCTCCCGCCGACAGGGAGCGGATGGGAAAGCCCCGCCCCTGCCCCGCCTCGTCCCGCCCCGGCATCGCCCCTCGACCAATCAGATTCCCCGCAGCCAGCACGCACCGCAATAGGAGGGCGGAGCGGCGGCGATGGGCGGGGACACACGCTCCGCTCCCAACCCGGGAGCGGCTGGTAGCCAATGAGAAACGGCTACGGCTGCCGGGCCGGGCCGCAGTGGCTGCTGGGAGTTGTAGTCCCGCGCCCGGAGCGGCGCTGCCGGGGTGAAGTCACCGCCGAGGGCCGGTGTCCCCGGGTCCTGTCCCCGTTGCTGCCCACACCTCCGCGGTGCCCTCACGCCGGCCTGGCAGCACTGCCTGCGTGCGGCTGGGGGCCTTCAGGCATGGCCCCTGCCTCTTCCTCCTTCTCTTCTTCATCCTCCTCTTCTTCATCCCCCTCCTCTTCATCCCCCTCTTCTTCATCCTCCTCGCTGCCCGAGTCTTCGTAGAGGCAGAGGGTGGCCTGCACTGGGAAGTTCTGCAGCAGCTTCTCCCCCACGGCATACAGATAGTCAAAGGACTTGGACTTGGGCCACAGCAGCCTATGGGGAGACGCGGGGTGAGGCGGGTGAGACCCCCCCCACACTCCTCGCCCGCTGCCCTCGGTGCCACCGGACACCGGCTGCACGGCGCTTACCTGACCGGGTGGTGGAAAAACGCCAGGGCTTTGTCGGGGCCGCCGTCTTCCGCTGCCTCCCGAGGCCAAGCCTGAGGAGACACGGTTATGGTGGGACCAGCCCTGGGGTTCCTGCTGCGGGGTGCGTGGGGACCCCGTGTGGCAGCGAGGGCAGGACCCTTCTCTCCATAGACCTGTCAGACGGGTCAGCCTGCCCTAGAGCCGGCTTCTCCCCCCTCCTCTGCCATGGCTTTAGGTCCTCATGCCCCCGCAAAGGAAGCTGGCGCCTATTCCCACCACCACCGCCCCCGACGGGCTTTTGGCCAGCGTAATCTCCCTGCCCCGTGCTCATGGCCGGGCGTCCCGCTAACCCCCTGAGGAATGCCTGCCCGGGCTGGGAACAGGCAGCCCTTTGAGCCCCGCGCTGTGGGTGCCTGGCCATGCCCCAGCGAGGCTTGTGGAGCAGAGGAGTGATGCACCAGGGGAGGTGGGCACCGCACCGCCATGCACCAGTGCTGGGGTGAAGGAGTCTGGGGCACGAAGCTGGTTTCTGCCAGACCGCAGTCCTGACAGCAGGAAACTGGGGGGAGCGTAAAACTCACCGTGTCCATCTGCTCCCTCCGCTGACCGGTTCCCTCCTCTGCTCGGGGCAGCCACGGTCTCCAGAGGGGTCTAGGTGCAGAGAGCAGGGTCAGTACGACACCCACCCACCCTGTCCCACTCCCCCCTCACTGCCCCATATACCCCCAGCCCCACATCCTACCCCTGCCCAGCTCAGCCCACGCCTATGCGTGTGGCAGGAGCACCAGGCACACACGGGTGCTTTCGTGCTACCTTGGCCTCAATGCTCCTCACCCTGCTTCAGCCCCAGCATCCCTGAGAGTCCCCAGCACTGCTTCCCGGGCTCTACACCCCCTCTCCCACCCATGGCCACCGGGATCAGAGGGGTTCCCATTGGAAGTGGGGCCTTCCCCACCCCTCCCCAGACCCCCCTCCATGCCGTGGTACTCGGATACCTTCCCCCCGGCCCCGGCCGCGGGGCTGCGTGAGCACTGGCCACAGGCACCCGGAGCCCATGGGGAGGCAAGCAGCAAGCAGCAGCTTCCATGGTGGCAGGAATCTGTGTCCCCTCTGAGGCTGCAGCCCCTTGGTGAGGACACCTTTATAGCCCTGCCCTGGCTGGTGAGTCACAGATCCTTCAGGGCAGGGGAGTGAGGGGCTGGGGGTGCAGGAACAGCATCCCCGGGGTGTGAAATTTGTCCCAGTTGTGTAAACAGAGGGTCGGGGGGAGGCCGGGGGCGGAGGGGCTGTGGAAATCAAAACACAGAAGGGAAAAGTTAGACACCGTTCGTGAGAAAATCCCCAGGGGGGAACAGGGGAGGGCAGAGACAATTAACCAGGATAATTAAGTGCTGTTTGTGGCCATTTGCATAAGGCAGGGTGGAGAAGGGATGTTGGAGGGCTTGGGCAGCGTGATGGCCATGGGATGTGGACAGCACAATAGGCATGATGAGGACCGTGTCATGGATGTGCTCTGGGACAGGCTGCAGTGGCGGCGAGCACAGAGCAATTAGGAGGCAAGTGGTGGGGTGCTCAAGAGAGGACAGGGAGGGAGGGCAGATGGTGAGGATGGACCCCAGGCACAGGCAGGACAATGATCCTGCTCAGGCACCCCTGGCCCCTGCTCAGATCGCCCCAGGGAGCTCCCAGGCTCTGTTTCTACACTGCCAGCACATGCTTCCCCTGCTCCCTCCCGTCTCCTTTGGCTTTTTGAGCTGAGGACCATACTGGGAGGTAGAGGAGCTTCTCAGTACAAGGATGCAAGGATTGCTCCCCCTGCCTCAGCACCACCACATGTCCTGTCCCTGCCGCTGCTCCTGCCCAGCGCTCAAGGGAGGGTTTCAATATGGGACAAGGAAAGAAAACAGCAAATGGTCCCTGCTGTAGCTGTGCTGTCAGCATCCCAACAGCCCTGTCCAAACACTGGCCAGACCCTCAGCTCCCAGCACAATTTGTCACCAGGGGCCCTCCCTGCCCCTCTCCATCTGCAGCAGCCGGTGAGAGGAGGGGGCACGGGCCCAGCGCAGCCTCATTACTGTCCCCATTTGCTCTTCATTTGGGCAAGGGGTCTTACAACAACAAACCCCGCGGAGGACCAGCAGGGCCAGGAGGAGAGAAGCAAAAGCCCAGGCTCACTCTGTGGGCACCGGGAGCTCAACCTGTTGGCATTTCACTGCCCCTTCTGACACAGCCCCAAGCGGACACATGGACCGTGGCATGTGGTCACCCATCAGCCACCGAGGTGACAGTAAGCCACAGCCCTGAGCCACTTGGACAAGCCTGCTCTGCTAATTAACAAACAAGAAAAACAAGGCATTGCAACTCCCTTCCCGATGCCGAAAGGGTTTAATGCTGAGGTGCGGTAAGCCTCTGATCCAGGCGGAGATTTGCAGATGGATTTTGCAAAGCCGTCACTAAACAACTCACAACCCCTGATCCCGAGGGACGGGGCTCTGGGTGCTCACCCTGCCCTGATCAAACACCTCTGGTGCTGGGTGGGTGATCCCCCGCCACCCTAGCTCCTGCTCCGTGTCTCCATCCGCCTCTGTAAGTACCACAGCACCCCTGATGTGGAGCGGGAGGTCTCGGTTAGCACATGGGAAAGGAGGCAGAAAGTTGGGAAACGCTGGTATAAAGCATTTGAGGTGCCGGGGGGGACACAGGGACAGGAGAGGGGCACAGGGGGGTGGTGGCACTCGCATCCGGGAGCGTTCCCAGGGCAGTGTTGGCACACTGGAGTGTTTTGGGCTCAGTCCGGTTTCGCAACAGGCTGTGGGAGGGGGAATTTAGAAAGCAGGCAGAAGGAAAACAAACCACCCCACCGCACTGCCGCTGCCAACCAGCCCCCTCCGCACCCAGCGCTGCGGGCAGGAGAGGAGCCCCGCTGGTGGCAGCGAGCACGAGCTGCTCCCCAGTGTGGTCATCACCCCACCGAGGGCAGGTCACTCTGCTTGGCCGGGGGGAGCATCCCTGAGGCACTGACTGTGCGCTCTGCCCTGATGTAATTCTGTCCTAAAGGGACCTCCGGGCTCTCCTGGGGACACCGGCGTCACCGTCACGTGCATCCCTCCTCATCGTTGTCTTCAGTGGCGTGGACAGGGTGATAACCGTGGTGGAGCTTCCTTAGCTCAGGACATCACAGGGGATGAGGCACCCCCAGGGAGGAAGTGGGCACTTTCTCCCCACCAGCACCCAGCTCTCCATCCCTGCCTGCGGCCCCGGCGCAAGGGAGGGCTTTGGCATCCTTCCCAGGCAGCGTTGCCCAGCCTCTGAAGCCCGGCTGGGAGATAGGGAGATGAAAGGGCGCTTGGCGCTCCTCGGCAGGCTTGGGTCAATCGTTAATCGGGGAGGGATCGCTCTCCACTCCTGCAGGTAACCTCCCACCCACAAAAGCAGAGCCCCCCGGAGCTGCGGCACAGCCAGCGGGGCCATGGGGAGCTGAGCACACACGGAGCGAGGAGCTGCGAGCCTGGGGAGGTCACAGCCAGCCCCCGCCATGGTGTCCATGGGACTTCAGCTGCTGGGCTACGCCGTGGCCTTCCTGGGCTACATCGGCACGCTGGTGGCCACACTGCTGCCCAGCTGGAAGACCAGCTCCTACATCGGCGCCAGCATCGTGACAGCCGTGAGCTTCACCAAGGGGCTGTGGATGGAGTGTGCCACGTACAGCACGGGCATCACCCAGTGCGACATCTACAGCTCGCTGCTCAACCTCCCCGCCGACATCCAGGCGGCACAAGCCCTGATGGTGAGCTCCTGTGCCGTGTCCTCCCTCGCCTGCGTCCTCACCATCGTGGGCATGCGGTGCACTGTCTTCAGCCAGGGCTCGCCGGCCAAGGACCGGGTGGCGGTGGCGGGCGGCGCGGTCTTTGTGCTCGGGGGGCTGCTCTGCTTCATCCCGCTGGTGTGGAACATCCATGTGGTGCTGCGGGATTTCCGCAACCCCGTCATCCCCGACAGCATGAAGTTCGAGCTCGGGGAGGCGCTTTACCTGGGCATCATCTCCTCCCTCCTCTCCCTCGTCGGCGGCTTCATCCTCTGCACCTCCTGCCCTGCACGGGACACCACGGCCACCTATGCAAGCACCTACCGGCCCCGGCTGCTGGCGGGCAAGAGCTGCCGGCCCTCTGCCAGCCACACACAGAAGACCAAGAGCGAGCTCAGCTCCTACAACCTGACTGGATACGTGTAACAACGGCTGCAGCAGGGAACAGGGCTGGCACCTCTCCTGCCTCTCCAAAGCATCTGGGCTGGCACCAAAGGAGCGTGGTAAGAGGAGAGGACACAGCAGCATCCCCAGTGATGATGGGGGATCCGGAGAGCCTTGTGACTGCTCAGAGCTCCCAGCTAGAGGCTTACATTGGTGAAGGACCCTCGATCCAGCTTCTGTTCCCCTCTCCATGCTGCCAGCCCGCAGGCAGCCCCTGGCACAGCAGGACCCCAGCCTGCAGCCCCACTGAGCCTGCTTGGATGGGAATGGATGGGCTTGTATCCCAAGGGACCACGGGGACCAGGTATCACAGTGGGGCCAGGGCGTCTGCACGGCTTTGGAGTCACTGCTGTGGGGGTTGAGTGCTGGTTGCAAGCCGATGTCTCAATAAATGTGTGTTTCCAGCCAGGCTGTGGCTGAGCTTTCCTGCAGCACCGAGCGGCCCTGGCAGCTCCCCCCCAGGCTGGGCACTATATCCTATAGTGTAGAGGGCATCCCTTGCTCTGGTCTGTGCTGTCACCCCCCAGTCCCATGGCTTTGCCACCCAGCAGCCCAGGCAGGTGGGAATGCTCTTGGGGTGGGGGGGTTCCCTCCCCTGTATGGTTTGTACCATGGTTGCCATGTGCCACCATGGTAAGGGTGCCAGCAGGGACCACTGGGCTAATACCAGGCAATGCCCCCCTGCCAGCCCTGCTGCCTCTCAGTGTGCAGGTATCCTTGGGAGTGGGGTGCCCACAGGGGGATTTGCTGCCCTGGGGTACATGTGGTCCCCAGGTGATGGGGAAAGCCCTGGCATCACCACATCTCCATGCCAGGATGCTGTGAGCACCAGCACCCAGGAGATAGCATAGTCCCAAGCACCCAAGGCAGCAGCGCCAGGGCAGAGACTGAGCACCTCAACACAGTGCAGATGGGTCTCACGGGCAGGTCCTGAACCCAGGGCTCCTTGCAAGAGCTGTTCTGAAGAGGAAAAGGGAGACATTGGTAAGGCACAAAGCACAGGCAGACAGGGGCCAGGACTGCTCCACACGACCCTGTACTGCCACACCACAGCATAGGGCACACGGGGACCCCCTTGCCCTGGCTCCCTGCTCCCCAGGAAGCAGGAGGCTTTGGTCTACCTGCTGGCCCCTCGTAAAGTAATTTAGATTAGGTCACCGGGAGCAGGATGTTCCCCGCTCAGACGTCACCACTGTCACCCTTGCACCAGTGAAATCATCTTTGCTGTGGGGTTAACCCACTCCAGATTACGTCGAGCTGTGCTTTCTCCCCTCCTCACCAAGCAAGGGGCTGCCCAGGGACCCATCCCCGCTCACTAGAGGGGCTCAGGGTGGATTTCAAGGCAAAGGCCAGTCACCCCCTTTGCATGACCAAGAGACACAGCATCAGTCACAGACCAGCTGAGTCACTTCTTGCTGCCCTGTGTGCAGAGGATGGAATGCTGCAACGGGGCTGCAGCCCCCCGGGAGATGGCCCAGGTTCACTGGAGTCCTTCAGCCATCAATCTGTTGTTTCCACACAGCTGATGCAGAGAGGAGGCGAGCAAAGAGCTGGTACAAGAGGTCACGGCTCCCAAGAGGAGGAATTCCTGGGCACCAGGTCCCCATCCCTCGCCTCCCACCCTGGGCTGCGGGGCGCACAGCGCTGCCTGTGTCCGAGGGCAGGGGCTCTGCTAATTAAACAAAGGGGTATTTGAGATGCTGGGGTCAGAGTCTGATTGCAGCTGGGTTTGTGAACGCTTTCATTCACGCAGCAGAAGGGAAGATCTATGGGTTTAGAGGAGTCAGCTTTCGCATGGCTTCCCCCCCTTCCCCTCATACCCTTGCAGGTATAGGCAAGGAGAGGCAGAGCGAGTGCTTGGGTACAGAAGCACCCATGGTTTGGGGAGATGAGCACAGGGAAAGAGGCCCCGATGTTCCCAGCAGCCCCTCAAGTTTCCTTCTCACCTGTGCAACACCAGACCCCTGTTCCACGAGTGCAGCACACCAGCTTCAGCCAGAGAGGAGCTGATGAGCATCACACTAGGATGGGGATGAACCCTTCCCCAGCCTCCCATGCCTCCAGCCCTGCCAAGGGGAGCCCTTGCATTAAGCATGGCTAAGTTCAGGCAATTTCCCCCTGAAATTCCCCCCTCCAGCATTCCTGCCCTTTAACTCAAGCACATCTGAAGATGCAGGAGCAGAGGATGGGGAAGGGAAGGACATTGGGTGCACGAGTGCAGTGGTGGTGGTTATCTCTGCCTCCAGCAATAGCCACGTTCCCAGTTATTGATAAGCCGGGTCCTCGAGTGCAGGCTGGATGTGGCCCAGCCCAAGGCCAGAGAGGGCACCAAGCATGAGCAAAGCAATGGAGCCAAGACAGCCAGTGTGCACAGAGCCAGCTCCTCGTCGCCTCGTGTCCCTCACTCAGTAGGAAAAGCTGAGGGTGCTCCAGGTTTTCCTGCAGGGAAGCGGGATGCAAAGGGATGGGCAGCCAGAGGCTGGGTGGGGAATGACGAGCTCCCCTCACCTCATAGGACAGCATGAGAGCCTTGCAGCCCCTCGCTGCAGGGTCAGGCTGCAGTGACTCATCCCTTGTCATAAGGAAACGAGTCCTTCCTCTCCTTGCTCTGGATGGTGCCTCAGATGAAGAAAGGGGGGCAATAAAACACAAACATGTCCTTATCTCCCCCCTGGAGCCCTCCTGGCAAGCAGAGTTCAGCTGCTTCTGGCATCCCTGACCTGCCTCTCATCCCTGCCTAGCACAGTACCCTACCCCTGAAGCAGCAGCAAGTAATCCCTGCAGGGGAGAGCCCATCCCTGCCCACAGCCCCCAGGGAGAGCTCAGATAGGAGAGGCAGGAGGGGGAAGAAAATTCAGGCCAAGTTCCTGATGGGCTGAGGCACTTGGAAGGGCTTCCACATTCCTCCAACCTCCTCCCATCCGCAGCACACTCCCAGCCTCCTCCTGTGCCATCCCGGAGCCTCCCAACCCCTCGGCAAGCCAGGGCTGGTGTGGAAGAGGACAAACCCTTCCTACCCTGATGTTACAGCAGCCTTTCCAGGAGCAGCAGGGGATGGGCTATGGGGAAGGGCTGCTCTCAGGCACTGCAAATCCCAACTCCCAGCCTGAGCTAAGCAACAGTCACGGACTGTGCTGGTGGGAATGGGAGATGCATTCCCCACCCCAGCCATGCCCCTGCTGCTGACCATGCTCTAAGCCCAGGAAACACCCTCATGGTTTCAGGTCAAGGCAATCCCACTCACATTTGACCTCCAAAGGCTTCCTGCCCTCCCACAGCCTTTGGGGATGGCCCATGTGGGGTCACACAGACTGGATACTGCCATGAGACAGTGCCTGGCTCTTCTGGCTTTAGTGGGAGATGTTGCAATGGAGGTGAGGGGTAGTGGGAAACCAGTAGTAGCTGTTGGAAAACTCCTTCAGTTGTAGGAGAAGCCTGTGCACAAACCTGTGGCTTGCTATAGCCTCCTGGAAGAGACCCTCTTAAAGGTGCTTTAAAGGGACTTTTGGTCTTTAAAGAAAGATGAGGGAAACACGGCAAGGATGAGCTCCATGGCCCCTTTCTGTTCATTGCTGGAAAGCACCTTCCTGGCTGGGTTTGATCAACAGTTTGGGGATCTATCAGCAGAGTTACAAAAAGCATTTACCTTGGAAAATGGTGATACCTCTGAAGAGGACACAGAGGTTCCAGGCACTGCATTAACATCACAGCAGGTTTTCTCTGTACTTTGATTCTAATCGATGCTAGAGGAGCTCCAGATTAGCAATCTCAGCCAACTAACACGCGTGCAATCTGTAGCAGTGAGAGCAGGCTTTATCAGTAGAACCTACACTGATTCCGCAAGCAAAACAAGCTTTATCAGCAGGACACGCTTTTATAGTGGTGTGAACATCAACTGTTCCAGGGATCTTCCAGAAACATTGGTGAAACCAGACTCTATCTCTAGCCCTGGAGAACTGGCCTGGAGGACTGAAGACAAACTGTCCCGCACCCTCAGCACCTCCACTGCCAACTGATGGTTAAACTGCACCCACCCAAGCTCTCTGCTGTGTGCCAGGGGCCTGGAAGAAGCAACAAGTCACCCTGCATGCAGAGCAACCAGGGGGGCTTCACCGGCTCTGGGCTCGCCGCTTATCCCCACTCAGATTGCAGGGGAAGGCTGTGTTTGAGGAAGCCTTTCCCACACCGGAGATGCAATCTGTCCTCAGGGCAGGTGCCTTTGCTCACAGAACTCACAACGCCCTCTGTTTCTGGGGTGTCCAGCCTGCTAAAAACGGCTCAGAGCAGGACAAGTCCCACGTCATGAACGGCATGGTTGCCTTGAACTTGCTTTCCTAGAGGAGCTGTGTCTCTGGGTTTCGTGGGTCCCCGGAGCAAAGTCCCACACCATTGGCTATACCTGGCAGGGGCTCTCAGCATTGCTCCAACAGATGCAGTTTTATCACCCGCATTTTTAGCCCTTTCCTTTTGTAGCAGGTGAGAGCAATTCCAGCCTTCAGTGCTTTCCAAGGCATCACAGAGCTAAGGGCAGCCCGCAGCCATTGCTGGCTCCATGATCATGATGATGCCATGCCCTTTGAGCTATTCCAGTATTCTTTCAGGAGCAAGGATGCTGCTCTTTGCCTTTGGATTTTCCCCTGGCTGCATGGAGGCCAGGCACCACATCTTATAGAGCATGGGAAGGAGAGGGGACAATTAACCTCTGATATCACCCATGACTGAATGCTGCCTCATTGGAAGCATGCCTTCTGCTCTTCCCAGCCCATGGGAGACCTGTCCCTGTAGCTGATATCCTGGGGCTTGCTCACAAACAAGGATCTTGCTGTGAGTTATGGCTTCCTTCCCAAAGCATCCCCCCTCCGGATGTGCTAGGGTCACCAGGATCCCACATAAGCTCCATGGGCTGTTTTCTGGCTAGGAAATCTGCATGGAAAGTAGCTCAGTTTTACCACACAGGTCACAGGCAGATGCAGTTAAACTCACCTGCAGTGCTTGCGGTTGAGTAAAAGCCTCAGTGGGGAAAGAATTAATAACCAGGGCAAAACACACTTGTAAAGGCAGCCAGGGCTTGCACAAAGAGACAAGTTTATCCTCAG